GCCTTGTTGTGTGCATGTACACACCCATGTCAACACACGTGAGGCTCTGCTCCTGGGGCATGCATGCACAGACAAGAACACAGAGCCATGGGCTCTCACCAGCAGTGACTTAGACACGCCGTGAAAGCATGAACATTGGCTGATGGAGTGCGTGGCACAGGCTGAGAACAGGTGCAAGATAGGCCTGCGGGAGGGGGATTAACAGGCTCCGTTACTGCAGGAGCCTCTGGCGGGCGCTAGGATGCAGCTTGGAGAGGATGAGGGAGACACCAGGGCTGAGGTGGCACCACTTGTCTTTATTTTCTCCACGCCGCCCCTTTACCTCTCTAAGAACTCACCCGACATGCAAAGTTCAGTTGCCATTTTGTTCTCAACCAGCGCCACAGTCCAGAGGAGACATCCTGGGCTCTCCCCCGGCCACTTTACATTGGTTCTTTCTTGTGGCCATCTCCCCTGAAGCTAAAAGAACTAAAATGAAATTGCCTCCAGGAGCCTCTGCCGGAGCTCTAGCTGCTCAGTCGCCACCCGGTTTCATTAGCCAAGGGGGTGGCCAGACAAAACCATCGCCAGTTGCTTCCACTTCCCCCAGTCGAGCCCAGGAGCCTACGGACACCACGAAGCCCCACCGGACGGGAGCCGAGAACGTCTGAACAACTGTCTCTCCTAGGCAGAGCTACATGAAGCCCGTGCCAGCCCTCGCTGGCGAGCAAGGCTGGCTCTGAACTCCTGCTCTGCAAGTCGAATGGGAACTCAGCTGGGAGCCCAGGGGCAGAGAGATCTAAACCCAGGGACCTCAGGGCTGAGCCAGCTGAACCATTTGCAACGGCAGCTAAGATGAGCAGGTAGAAGCCAGAGTCAGGCTGGTCCAAGCTCCTGCTGGCAAAGCTGGAGACCAGAACCTCAGCTTGACAGAGGCATTTTATTTACTCCAGCTGGGGACCTGTCCCTCTAGCACAGCAAAGCAGAACTAGCTGAAGGCTACTGCACCTGCCTCCCTGTCCTTTGCTTTGCTCAAGGAATCCCCTGCTAGCCGTGGAACTAGATCAGGTCAGAGCTAAGCAGGTGCTCCAAACCAACCCAGAAAGCCTCCCGGCCAATTCCAGCCGGCCGAGTCCCCTGCTCATTCAGTTCATCAGCCTTAGCCCAGCACAAGCCAACATACCGCTAAACAACACTGTCTGGGACCCAAACAGCCAACATCACACCAGCTCCTACCCCTCGGCTGCTTTCCCCTGTTTATATGGCCCAGGGTGCTCCTGGGTTGCACTCAGGTGGACTTGGCTGTAAAAACCAGATTGACTTTTAAAGGGGCAGTACATCCCCCCCAGATACACTATGGCCATATTCCCAAAGGCCAGGGTTTGATTTTCAGAGGGGCTGAGTCCCACAACACCCAGGATTTCAGTTAGACCTCTGAGCATCAGGCCCCTGTGTTTCAGCTGCCTGGATTCAGTCATGCTCCAGAGTTTTGCTCATTGGACCTGCATCCACATGGGAGTCAAGGGATTCCCTCGGGAGTTACAGACCCAGGAAGGCGAATTTTCAAAAGCGACACTGGGTGTCCATACAAGGCAAGGGATACTGCAAAAGCAGGAAACAGGGAAACTGAGGCACGGGGTGGTCATGTGACTTTGCCACGGTCACCCAGGAAAACAGTGGCAGAGCCAGGGAGAGCCTCCAGTTTGGACCACAAAAGGCACACATTTTCAACAGCCAGAGTAATTATTGGAACTATATACCAAGGGCTGTGGTGAATAGAACTGATTAAGAAACTTTGTTCCTTTGACACTGAAGTCTGTCAGGGAAACATTATGGCTACGTCTACACTGGCACCTTTTTCCGGAAATGCTTAAAACAGAACAGTTTTCCGTTATAAGTATTTCCGGAAAAAAGAGCGTCTACATTGACAGGATGCTTTTCCAGAAAAGCCCTTTTTCCAGAAAAGCGTCCGTGGCCAATGTAGACGTGCTTTTCCGGAAAAAAGCCCCGATCGTCATTTTCGCGATCAGGACTTTTTTGTGGAAAAGACTACTGGGCTGTCTACACTGTCCCTTTTCCGGAACAGTTTTCCGGCAAAAGGACTTTTGCCCGAGCGGCAGCAGCATAGTTTTTCCGGAAAAGCAGCTGATTTCTTACAGTAGATCGTCAGTGCTTTTCCGGAAATTCAAGGGCCCAGTGTAGACACAGCCTATCAGTTTCAACGTATATTTAGGCAGGAAGATATTGGGATGGAATTACAGGACAAAACAAGAGAGAGACATCGACACCGGAATAGCCTGGTGCTTTGGGCTCTCGCCAGGAACATGGGAGATCCAAGATGAGAATCCTCACCACTGGGCTACCAGATCTTTTTTGCTCGTTTTTGGCAAACGTTTTCCAAAGGGCTCAGTGTTGGGGTGCCTCCGCATGAAGGAAAACATCATAATCGTACCCAAAACAGAACGGCTCACTCGCTCCAGTGGTAGATTCTCTGGCAGACTGTTTTAAAATCAAGAGTGGATATTTTTCCTAAAAGATCTGCTCTAACTTCCTGACTATGGCCTGTGCTAGGCAACAAGTCAGTCGATACAATCACAGACGTGGTCCCTGCCGGAGAACCTAGGTCTCCAGTGCTCTGTTAACTAGGCCACACTGCATTCCTAAGAACCTCTGTCCGTCCTTCTCCTGGTGTTTCAGTTCCACCAGCCAGAACGTATCAGAAGTAGACCAGACTGCATTTTGCTTTGGCTCCAAAAAAATCTCCCTCGGTGGAAAGGGTAGGGAAAAGCTCATGGAAAACAGACGCGCACTCATGTCCAGATGAGTTTTTCCAGGTTTCTCTTAAACAAGAATCTTTGCCAGGCCATCCACTAAATATTTAAAATACTGCACAGAAATGCAGGCCAAATGCTGTTCAGAAAACATTCATTCTCTCTGTATTATTTTAGATGACCTCTTGTCTGTCTTTTTTCTCCTTACGTGATTAATACTGAAAGGATCTTCACATGTTTCTTTCATTGCTTATTTGCTGTTTCATCTCTGCACTTTGCTGCGCTTGGTGGATTGAATTTGCTCACTAAGAATTTCATGACGGATGAAAATGTTTCAGTGGATTTTCTGAATTCTGCTCTAGAATTTAACAGAGAGCTACTTCATTTCTCTGGTATCATTGAAAAAGCCCATAGGAAGTATCCCATACTGTGCTATGTCCTATTGACTTGTAGCGTTGTTTTTATCAACCTTAGGGGTTTTCAAAAATGCCCTTTTCCCACCGAAAGTCTCTCTCTTTATCCCCATGAAATTCTATTGGAAAAGGGTTAGATTATTTAGTTTCACCTCATAGCTTCCTGTACTGGCAAAATTCTACTCTTTGAATTGAAATATTTTCAGTGCAGCAGTTTTTCCATTGGAAAATGCTGCTTTGTTGAAATCCAAGTGTTTCATGGGAAACTGGGAATTCTGAGGACATTTTTGACATAAAAGCTGCAAAATGATTCCAAATCAAGTATTTAGTTCTGAAGTTCTCACTTGGTCTTTTTTGCTGTTGTTGTAACACGTATTGGACATTTCATTATAATGTTTTCCCGTTGTTGAAATGTTTCACTTCAATGTGTCATTTTCACGCTTCCAGACGGAATTATTTTGGAATATTCTTTCCAGGAAAAATCTGGAGCTGTTGACTTTTCATACCAGTGGGGGGACAAAAACTAACATCACGAATGTTGGCCTTTCCCAAGGTATGGAAATTCCATTTTCTGACCAAGTCTGACCACGAGTGCTCTAGCAGAATGTTTAGCTAGTACAAATGCAAACGAACATGGACAGATCTAGATCCTATGCCCTTGTCCCACACATGGCCCCAGGCCTGCCTTCCCAGCACCACACACAAACCCTTTTGATTTTGAGATCTTTTTAAAAACAAACGGAGCTTAAAAGTCGGTGGCGGAAAGCCCAATTCTGCAATCATAACGCACTCCCCATTGTAAAAACCAATCTCACAGTGCAACTTTCTTCCATGAGTTTTGGGAAGGGAGATGATTTTGTTAGTTTCGGCCCCAAATCCCGAGTCTTGCTTTTTTCTTTTCTAGAACATTTCTCAATCCCCGCACCCGCCCCCAAGTCTTAAGAAAACCCTGGTAGTTGCCCCAAATCTGCACCCACACCAGTATCCACCTCCCATACACCATACACTTTGTTCAATTAGCAAGCACAGCAGCTGCTCTCTGAGCAGCCAAGACTTGAATAGCAGAGTGGACAGGGGGTGTCTTGGCAGAGCTGGGTGGGAGACCTGGACTGGAACACCAAGGAGCAGGGGCTGTGGATCAGGGTGGAGAGGCAGTAGTAGAGTGGTGTGTGAAAAGCCAGGTCTGGAACAGCAGGGACTGAACTCAGGACGGAGGTCCTCTCTCTGAACTAGGTGGGGACTGTGATCATAGGGGCTGCTGCAGCGATTAAGCCCTTTGGCGGTGGCTTGCACAGAGCCTGCCGGCACAGTGAGGTTTGATCCAGAGGCGGTTTGCTGTCAATCAATGGGAGACTGGATGGCTCAGTGCATTGCTCTCCGGTGCGCTCTCACAACTGTTTACCAAGTGCAATTTGCAGTTGCAGAGAGGGGGAGGCTCAAAGAGGAAGAGAAAGAGGCTGCAGCAGAACACAAAGGGAGACGGCCAGGCAGGACGGGAGTTCTACAACTGCAGAGATCTCCAATGTCTGCATTAAAAGGGGACAAAAATTGCCGCCCAAAAACCACACTCCCCTTTCCCCAATCAAATGCCTTTCGCTCGGCTGGTTCTTTTACTCCAAACCCCTTGCGCTCAAAGCGAGAATCATTCCCGGCTCCATGGGCGTTCAGCCAAACAGGAGCGCTGGGGTTTCGGCCCTTCCCCTCAGCACACGGACCCAGAAGATGCAGGTCTGTTTTGTTCCTTTATTTCACGTCGCCCAGGCATGGTAAAGCACAGCCAGCCTCAGGCCCGCGCACAGAGAGGAGCACCACAGTTAGAAAGAGGCCTCGGACGTGGCAAAAATCCCCCCCCCCCCCCCTCGTCTTTAGCTAAGATCCCCGGTGTGAAGAGACCCGCTGGGCCTTTCCCCACTCCTCTCCCAACCCCGCTACATACACAGGTGTGTGGGTCTTTCTCTTAGTCCACATCAAAGCACCAGGACAGGTCTCATTGAGAGCAGTGGCAATGTTTTGAATCCAGAGCTGCACACAGGCGTGGGACGTCTCTGTCGCTCTCACCTTTCCAAGCACTGGCGGTCTAAATGCTAAGCTGCTTACGTAGGCTATTGGCAATATCACGACAGTACCGGGCTCTCTTTCCCCTCTGCGCCCACCATCCTCCAGGACATGGAACCGAGACGCCCCGTGCACGAGACGCCCCGCAAACCGAGTCTCATGTCCCCAGCGCATTTCCCGGCTCAGCACATTGTGAGGCTGGGAATCGGTTCCAGTTACAACCCAGCTGGAGCTCAGCTCAGCGTTTCTTCGCTCTTTGAACTCCGGTGAGCTTGTCCCGCAGCAAACCCCCCCGCGCTGTTCACCCCCGACACAGCCGTATCTGTACCCCTCCCCTCCCGCACGAGATCAGCCGAGTCCAGGATCCGGGGAGGGCTGGGAACTCATCTTGGAAGCTGGAGAGGAGGGTGTTATTCTATAACCAGTACAAGAGGGAGCCCGAGAGGGTTCGACTTGGAAAAACAAATGGAAGGGAGGGAGGAAAAAATACCAGGGTTCAAGGGTCTGATGTCTACATTCTAAAGAAAACAGCCAGCACAGCAGGTGGGGAGGGAGAGTTGGCATTTGGTGTTTGGCTTTTGGGAAGCGTCACTCACGGTAGAAAACATATTCGGTGTAAGAGGTCCAGATCTTGTCATCGGTCTGGTCGTGGGCAAAGGCGCAGGTGCCTGTGGAGTTGCACGCCACCATGTGGAAGCCGGCGTCGGCCAGTTTGTCAAAGGCTTGCTCCAGGAAGGTGAATTTGAGGTAATACCTGGAGGTGTAGCGCTCCGGGGGCCGGTCCGGGTCCCTGCTCTCGTTCAAGGTGTCCCCAAAGACTTCCTTGGCCAGCGAAGTCTTGCCGCACACCATGATCCGCGCCACCCGGCGGAACTTGGCATCCGTCTGGCTGTCCCTGCCCAGGGTGTAGGAGCCCCGGTAGCCGATGGTGATGAAGCCTGACCTGCGGCTGTCCGGGACAGCGCTGCCCCCGCTGGGGCCCCCAGGGGCATTCGCCAGGGTGCTGCCGGCAGAGGCGAGGCTGCGGGCCGTGTCGACATTCGGGGACAGCTCCTCTGGGTCGCTCTGGCATGGGTCATCCCCAATGGAGTTCTGCTGGCTCAGCTTGGGAGCTAGCATCTTGACCAGCTCCGGGAGCTTGAAGTACTCGGCTTCCCGCTGCAGGCGGTTCCTCTCCGGGAAGTGGTCCGGCAGCACCAGCTGCTGGTCCCTCATGTAATCCAGGACGTAGCGGAAGAGGAAACCGTCCCGGTCCACGAAGAAGCGGCCCTTGCTGTCCCGTGCCAAGGAGCGGATGCTCTTCTGGGTGAACATCTCCCAGAGCAGCGAGCCGGGTACGCTGACCAAGGTGGGGTGGCGCGTGATGTACACTTGCCCACCCACGTTGAGCTCAATGATCTCGGGGAAAGGGAAGTCCTCGCCGGGTTTGGCGCAGCTCGCATTGTCCGCCAAGGCCATGGTGAGCCACCGTCACCAGCCCAACTGCAAAACAAGCAACAGGCCACAGGGACGTTAAACTCATCGGGCAACACAACACAGCTCTCGCGACAACAGCCCTGCAGCCCTCCTGAGCTGCTTCAGTGGGGGCAGGATCAGGGCCATACTTAAGGTCCTGGCTGCCTGGGAGCCATATGAAACGAGATTAAAAAGACTGAGGCTTTTCAGCTCAGAAAAGAGGAGGCTGGGAGGGCGGGGGATAGGATAGAGGTCTATAAAATCATGACAAGTATGGAGAAAGTGAATAAGGAAAAGTTATTTACTTGTTCCCATAACATAAGAACTTGGAGTCACCCAATGAAATGAATAGGTAGCAGGTTTAACACAAACAAAAGGAAGTTTTTCTTCACACAGCGCACAGTCAACCTGTGGAACTCCTTGCCAGAGGAGGTTGTGAAGTCCAGAACTTTTACAAGATTCAAAAAGAGCTAGATAGATTTATGGAGGACAGGTCCATCAATACTTATTAGCCAGGATGGGCAGGGAGGGTGTCCCTAGCCTGTTTGTCAGGGGCTGGAAATGGGCGACAGCGGGAGGGATCACATGAGGATTCCCTGTTCTGCTCACTCCCTCTGGGGCACCTGGCATTGGCCTCTGTCGGAAGACAGGACACTGGGCTGGATGGACCTCCTGGCCGTTCTTATGTTCTCTCTTCCCTTCGCCTCTGGGACCCTGAGCTCAGCTGGCAATTTGCTACAGTCCCTGGATCCCAGTGTCTGAGGTGTGATGAGCGGAAACCATTACTGGAGGGGTCCTGTTCTCTAGGCTTGGCTTCCCTTCCAGGCTGCCCTTCAGGACAGACTAAGTCCATCTCCTTCTGGCAGCTGTTACCCAGTGGGTTACTGCAGTTTACTGCGGGGCAGGGAGCTAGTCCATTCAATTCTGCATTGTTTAAATCACCAAAGCTATAGGAGTTGCCACACGCGGCATCTGACCCAGCGCCCACCCTTGGACAATGCCCGCTGCTTCGGAGCAAGCTGTAAAACACCCATACGGGGTGATTATGCAAGAACCTACCATGGGGTGGGGTTCCCCCAAGCCCAGGCAGGGAGGAATGGGCTTGTGCCCTGACGCAGGAGGGCTGGAGGGGTTCCTTACAGACGTTTGGGTCACTGCTGCTGATGTGCCTCTTGCAGCAAGAGCCAGTCCTTTTGGACTCCTCATTCTGTCTCTAGGCTCAAAGAGTGTGAGACGGAGACATGACGACCAGGTTCAGTGGGGTGGAAGATGACACCTCTCCCCTGAAACTCCTGGAGCGCCGACTCCCCCCAGCTCTGAATTTAGCAATAGGACTCTAAATGCACTCTACCGCCCAGAACTTGCTCAGGTTCTACCCTGGTTTCCCATCTCAAACTGTGAGACTTTTTTCCCCCAAAGGTCCTGGCACCAAAACCCACCATCTAAATACCCCAGATGGCTGGGGATGTTTGAAATTGAAATCTAGACTGAAAAGTACCAACAGGCCTCAGAGATCAGATGATCAGTTCTGGCCTTTGGCTCTGCCCAGGCTCTGGTAAATTAAGAAGTTTTTCTTTACTCAGAGCACAGTTAACCTGTGGAACTCCTCGCCAGAGGATGTGATGAAGGCTAGAACTTTAACAGGGATCAAAAAAGAGCTAGATAGATTCATGGAGGTTCAGTCCATCAATGGCTATTAGCCAGGATGGGTGGGAATGGTGTCCCTGGCCCCTGCTTCTATGGAGGTGGGTGACAGGGGAGGGATCACATGAGGATTCCCTGTTGTGATCCCTCCCTCTGGGGCACCTGACATTGGCCACTGCTAGCGGACAGGACACTGCGCCGAATGGACCAAGTCTGGCCGCTCGGATGTTCTTACGTTTTAAGAGCAGCCCCGGGGGTGTTCTAACTAATGGCCGACGGCTCAGGCAGTCATTGTGGCAGGCACAAACAGCCAGAGCTCAGCAGCATACTAGCACCATTGCCCTGACCCTTCCCTCTCCTCTCCCCCCGCACCGGGGGCTGCAAGGCTCCCATGGAATTACCTCCTGCTCGGCGTGCTCCCCAGGGGTTATCCAGCTGCCTAAATGGCCCCAGGGAACAATGCAATGGGCAGCCAGATCCCCTCTCTCTGAACAGGCCAAATCACGTCCACCTCTGAGGCTGGCAGCGGGGTCCAGTCTCACCTTGATTTCTATCAAAACGGTGCCCCAAAATACAGCGTGGAGTCCCCCTGGCTCTGCCGTAGCCCAGAGCCACAGCCCTTCACCTGCTCTCTGCCGGGTAACGGCGCCGCACCGCCACGGCGAGAAAGGGGACTGTGTCAAAACGACGGGCCCCCCCCTTCCTCGCCAGATCCACTCCCTGCGTAACGCTGCACGCTGACTTTACTGGCACCCACCCGGCGACTCCTCCGGGCCCCGCACAGCCGCTGGGGGCCCCCCCGAGTTTCATTCAGCTCAAAAAATCTGCCAGCCACAAGCCAATTACAGACTCTTGATTACAGGCGATGGTGGTGGCGGCAGAAGGGGCCCAGCTGGCGTCCTGCAGCGCCGCCGGAGCTTCCAGCAGTGGTGTGCCCAAATAATACGCCTTTGATTTGTCAACGGAGCCAATTGGCTGGGGAAGTTACAGAGACTCTAAGAGCCAAATCCTGCTCTCAGCTGTGAACCGGGGGCGACAGTGCCGCTTCGCACTAACCCAGCTGGGACGGAAAGCCGCCGTTGACCCTTTTTACGGCCACTTTGCTGATTGCAGCCAGGCAGGAACAATTTGATCCAAAGCTCCCTAAAGTCAGGGGAGCAGCGCTGATTTACACCGGCCGAGGGTTTGACCCCCACGGACTTAACAGCAAGACTTACGGGAGGGTGCTTTTCAATTAGGAACCTGCAGCAAAGTACAAACCCCAGAACATCCCAACTGCACTCCAGCATGGGAGAACAGGGGAAGGGGTAAAAATTGCTCCTTTATCCACCGGTGAGAATTACCTTTGCCGGCTGCTTTCCAACTTAATCAGAAATGGGACCTGCTGGCTTCTAGCCCTGTCCAGGTCTCTCTCTTAACAGGGAAGGGAATGAGAGCATTTGTTAATGCCTTACCAGTGTGTGCAATGCATACATCTCTGGATAGGAGCACATGCACCGCTGGACTCCAGGGACTCTTCGCTCCCTCCCCCCCGAACCTCCAAAACACCCTGCCCCGGGCCCAGTCCTGCACCCACTGAACTCAGCTGAGCAGGACCAGACCCGCTGCCCTGTTACAGGCCAGCAGCAATAAAGAAAGAGCCCTCACCCGCATCCAGGGCTGGCTGGCAGAGCAAGACAGGCTGCGACTCCAGCCCTGCCCGGGCGCCCCCAGAGAAGCAGAGACAGCGCCGCTTCTGACAAGCAGGCTCTGTTCGGTGGCGGAACGGTCCCCTTGACACTGATGCAAAGTAACTTGGGTGCCGCGGAGCGTGAAAGACCCTGATGAGGGCGGACGTGCGGTCCCAGCTCGGGGTCTTTTTAGAAAGCAGCTGCTGCCAGCGCTGTCAATTATTGAGGAGGTGTTTTAAGGAGATCAGGTGGCTTAGAAATGGCCAGCGGGGCTAACTGGGGCTCCGTGGGGTTCACAGCAGCACCCTCCCTCTGTCCGGGCGGACAGACAGACACACTCGGTTGGGCGAGTCTTGCCCCAGCACCTCCGGGCTTGGCCGCTCAGAGCCGGGCACCTCCGGGCTTGGCCGCTCAGAGCCGGGCACCTCTGGGCTTGGCCGCTCAGAGCCGGGCACCTCTGGGCTTGGCCGCTCAGAGCCGGGCACCTCTGGGCTTGGCCGCTCAGAGCCGGGCACCTCTGGGCTTGGCCGCTCAGAGCCGGGCACCTCTGGGCTTGGCCGCTCAGAGCCGGGCACCTCTGGGCTTGGCCGCTCAGAGCCGGGCACCTCTGGGCTTGGCCGCTCAGAGCCGGGCACCTCTGGGCTTGGCCGCTCAGAGCCGGGCACCTCTGGGCTTGGCCGCTCAGAGCCGGGCACCTCTGGGCTTGGCCGCTCAGAGCCGGGCACCTCTGGGCTTGGCCGCTCAGAGCCGGGCACCTCTGGGCTTGGCCGCTCAGAGCCGGGCACCTCTGGGCTTGGCCGCTCAGAGCCGGGCACCTCTGGGCTTGGCCGCTCAGAGCCGGGCACCTCTGGGCTTGGCCGCTCAGAGCCGGGCACCTCTGGGCTTGGCCGCTCAGAGCCGGGCACCTCTGGGCTTGGCCGCTCAGAGCCGGGCACCTCTGGGCTTGGCCGCTCAGAGCCGGGCACCTCTGGGCTTGGCCGCTCAGAGCCGGGCACCTCTGGGCTTGGCCGCTCAGAGCCGGGCACCTCTGGGCTTGGCCGCTCAGAGCCGGGCACCTCTGGGCTTGGCCGCTCAGAGCCGGGCACCTCTGGGCTTGGCCGCTCAGAGCCGGGCACCTCTGGGCTTGGCCGCTCAGAGCCGGGCACCTCTGGGCTTGGCCGCTCAGAGCCGGGCACCTCTGGGCTTGGCCGCTCAGAGCCGGGCACCTCTGGGCTTGGCCGCTCAGAGCCGGGCACCTCTGGGCTTGGCCGCTCAGAGCCGGGCACCTCTGGGCTTGGCCGCTCAGAGCCGGGCACCTCTGGGCTTGGCCGCTCAGAGCCGGGCACCTCTGGGCTTGGCCGCTCAGAGCCGGGCACCTCTGGGCTTGGCCGCTCAGAGCCGGGCACCTCTGGGCTTGGCCGCTCAGAGCCGGGCACCTCTGGGCTTGGCCGCTCAGAGCCGGGCACCTCTGGGCTTGGCCGCTCAGAGCCGGGCACCTCTGGGCTTGGCCGCTCAGAGCCGGGCACCTCTGGGCTTGGCCGCTCAGAGCCGGGCACCTCTGTGGGGAACAGAAGGCCCTGGCCCAGTTTCGGAAGCCCGGCCAATCAGCTTCCCAGCCTGGCTGGACCCGCCCCATTCTAGTCTCTTGCACAGAGCCGCTGGCTGCATTTCAATCCCTCCAGGCTAAGCTCTGTGGGATGCTGGGCACCTACCTGAGGCCTAGCCTCTGAGGCCTGTGAAAGCCACACACCTTGCTGGGTGTGGGTGAGCCTGGCCATGGAGCGCACTTGGATCCCTTCCAGGGCCTGAGGACACTTGCCTTGAGAGCCAGCGGGCTTTTGGCTCCAGCACTAAGCTCCAGCGGTTGCTGGTTCTGTTCCTGGTATTATTTCACTCCTTGCCCTGAAGAGAAAACTGAAGCCTAGGAAAAAGTGAGAGAAACCGAGCACCTTCAACTCAAGCTGTCTTGGGCAGTAGATTGTATCACTGTCCCATGGGTTTCTTTCTCAGGCTTTGTCTACACTGCTTCTTTTTGTGCAAAAAGAATCAGCAGAAAATATGCTAATGACATTGAAACTCATGCTAATGAGTCCCTCATTAGCATATTTTCTGCCACAAAAACTTGCAGTGTAGACAAAGCCTGAGAAAGAAACCCATACCCAGCAGTGAAATGATTTGCCCTGGAAGAGACAGAAGCAAAGTCTCTTCTCTCTCTATATCCCTGTTTAAATCACCTCAGCCAGTGTCTATTAAATAAACACTCCACCTCAGCTGCTGACGTCTATTGTCTTTATTGAATTCCACAAGAGAACTTTTCCGGCTCTGCAGCTAAAGTCTGTTTCCCACAGGCATCTCCTACAAATCCCAAGGGTGAAAGAATTAAGCCTGTCGTTATTATAGCGGTGTGTGTGTTAAAGCCGATAAAATAATGGGGGCGGGTGAGTGACTTGAAAGGAGTAAACCTACTTTTTAGCTGAATTTTCAAAGTTTTTCCTCAAACGGGAAAAAAAATCACAAGAAAGTCATTACAAATTTCCCCATTTAAAAAAATCTTTGAAAATTTGAAAACTGCCAAACCAGCTCTCACATTTGTGTTTCTCATTTTCCGTAAGCACCGATCCTACCCACGCAGCCACATCATACTAACTGGATACCGAGCAGAGAAGCTGGGGTAGGCGGGCTTTTGAATTGGCAAAGGGCTTGTCCAACCAGATTTTGAAACATCCGGGGACCCAGTTTCTACTTTCTCTAAAGCACCAAAGCCCTGATTCTAGCAGGTCGGTTCTAAGGTTCTGGCTTTGCCCATTTCCTGGCAGGAATTTGACTCAGATAAACAGAAAGTGTCTCCCAATGCCTCTGCTTTGGCACTGAACAGCAAACACAAACTGAGAACCCTCAGCAAGGGATAGTCTGGGCAGTAAAACTGGACTTTAGACTGGGACCGCATTGATCCCTTTCAGCATTGTTTGCTTCTTCACTTTCGATGCCTTTGGAGGACTATGGGGGTGTCAGTCAACATTGTTGTTTACAGCCCCAGATTAGTGGGAGCTGCCCGAATGAATACACTAAGATTCGGTAGATGCGGTGCTCAGGTAGAGTCATTTCTCAGCTGTCCTGAACACATCTGCATGGGGAGTCACATAGCACAACGGAAACTCCCAAAGAGGGCCTCGTGTCATGCCTGGGATGGATTCTTTGGACTGTAGCTCAACAGTTTTGAAAGCACCGTAGCCTCCAAAGTGTGTCAGTCACTTTTGAAAATAGGGTAGCTTGGTGCTAGTGTGACCCCTGCTGGAAGACTAGGGTCCAGTGCTGGTGCTCAACATTTGGACAGGGTGCTGAGAAATTGGTTCAGAGAAGAGCCACGAGGATGATTAAAGGTTTAGAAAAATCTGCCAACCAGCGATCGATGCCCATAGCACAAGAAAGGGATGGGGTGGGGTGACTGGCTCATAGTCTGTAAGGCTACGTCTCCACTGCAATGCTATTCGGGATATCGGAGTATCCTGGAATAGCTATCCCGCATCTTCACAGAAGGCCCGTTATTTCAGGCTCACTAGTCCAACGTCCCTGTAAACCTCATTCTGCGAGGAGTAAGGGAGGTTTTGGAATAGTGCTTTATTTCGAAATTTGGCGCTGGGTAGACTGTGCCAAATGACGAAATAAGCCATTTCAAAATAGCACCGAAATAAGCTATGCAACTTGCGTAGCTCAAATTGTGTAGCTTATTTCCAGTTACGGTGCAGTGTAGACACACCGTAAGTGTCTACTTGAGGACCAATATGTAATAACGGGCTGTTCCATCCAGCAGAGGACAGTCTGACGTGACCCAGTGGCTGGAAGTGGAAACCAGGCATATTCAGACTGGAAATAAAGTCTAAATTGTTATGTGTGAGAGTCATAAACCATTGGAACAATGTACTGAGGTTCACAGGAGAGCCCCCGCAGCTGGCAATGTTTAAACCAGGACTGGGTAGTTCTGCCAAAGCTCTGCTCTAGGAATTATGTGGGGAAGTTCTCTGGCCTGTGTTATACAGTCTAGAGAGGATCACGGTGGTCTCTTCTGGCTTCTATGAAAGACAAGGAAGCACTTTGGGCATGTTTACCCATGGTCCCTTTACTGTTCCAAAGAGCTGGTCTCCCCAGCATCTCCTGCTTCATATTCATGTCCATTCGCATACCTAGATACTTGTTCACACAACTGTACATTGAAAGCCAGCCAGGCTTGGAATGGTCCCAAAGCACCCAACTCTATGATCTTCCTCCTATCACTGCAGCCACATGCTACCCCTGGCAGATGGCACAGGCCCCTACGACATCGACTGCCTCCATCAGGACCAGCCTGCCTCTCATCTAGACCAGGACGGTCCTGCCGGGAGCATGGTGAGTCCTAGCACGTTGAAGACAAAAGCGCGGAGGCATTGCTGCACTGCCAAGAAACAGAATTCTCTCTTTTCACAGATCCTCGTGTCAAATGATCAGTCAAGCCGGTCACTAGAGTAAGGCCAAATCCTGTTTGTATAGGACACAGCCCTTGTGCACAGCTGCCTGGAAGACCAAAGAGGGGGCAGGGGGTTGAGAAGCCGCTAGTTTCTTCCAGACCATGAATCTAATAAGAACTACAATAAACTCATTTCACTGAACAGGAAGTGGAGGCACAGAAATGGGAACAGAAACTTGTCTGAGGTCACACAAAGAGAATGCTCCGGACTTCTGAATTCATAGACTGAGAGATTTTTTAAGGCCACGAGGAACCACTGGATGATCTAACATGACCTCCTGCCCAACACAAGCCTTGGAATGTCATCCCATTACTTCTGTATTAAGGCCAAAGCAGATTTCCAGAGAGACAACTGGCCTTGACTTGAAGATGGCCAGAGAGAGAGAATCAACCACTGGTTCTGGTTCTGCCTCTCTTGGCTAAAGAGCTCTCTACCCTTTGGTATTTCCTCCCCAGGGAGGTACTGACACACGCTGTGAGCTGCTGACTGAGAAACTAAACAAATCAAAGGAGGCAAATCT